CACCAGGGCTCTTTCCGAGCAATCGGAGACTGTGTCTGCATGCAACCAACCTCTCCTCCACCCCTTTTCATGCCTCTTCTGGTTCAGCGGGGAGGGTAGCTCTTCGCAGCCAAAGGGGGAGACACCTGTGACTCTCCACCAGCCTGACTTTTCTCTGCCTCTTGGCCTCCCCTCTCTCTTGCTTCAGCTTCTGCCTCTGATTCTGGACTGCTCTCTGCTACAGACTCACCGCTCACTAAGCCCTGTTACCTCTTCAGCTTCTGGCACCTCCTCCTCTCCCTCTGACCACTCACTGTCCCACCACCATCCCAGGCTCTGAGCCTTCTTCCTTTGGGGACTCCCCAGCTGGTTCCTCCCACCGTTCCTCTACCTCCAACCAGTCCATGACACCTCCCCACTGAGTTCTACGCTTGGCTAAGGGGGAGGAAACCAACAGGCAACGCCGCCCCCCCAAGACTGGTTGTAGGTAAGAAGGCAGGCAGATGGGGGCTGGCTGACTTTGGCTGGGCAGCGCCCCTCTTGCCCCAATGGACCAGTCTCCACTGCCTTCTGCCTAATCGTTTTATATCACAATGTCTAAAATAAGGATGGAGCTACGCAGAGGTGATGGCTGGCTTCACGGGTTCCCCCACATTGTGATTTTTGCACAGCACAAACACAATTCATGATTCGCAATACAGTGGACACTCGGGTTGCGAACGTGATCCGTGCAGGCGGCACGTTCGCAACCCACAGCGTTCGCAACTCACAGTGGCGCGTCTTCAGACGCGCAGGTTGCAATTCAGCGCTTCTGCACAGGCGCAAAGCACGATTTAGCGCTTCTGCGCATGCGCACCTACCAAAACCCGGTAGTAACCTGTTCCGGTACTTCCAGGTTTCGTGGCGTCTGTAACCCGAAAAAAAACGCAACCTGAAGTGTCTGTAACCTGAGGTATGATTGTATATTGCCAGGTCAAAAATTATGAAACAGATTATCACAATACAGTGGTACCTCAGGTTACATACGCTTCAGGTTACAGACTCCGCTAACCCTGAAATACAGTGGTACCTTGGGTTAAGTACTTAATTCGTTCCGGACGTCCGGAAACCTCAAACTGTTCTTAACCTGAAGCACCACTTTAGCTAATGGGGCCTCCCGCTGCCGCCACGCAGCCGGAGCACGATTTCTGTTCTCATCCTGAAGCAAAGTTCTTAACCCGAGGTACTATTTCTGGGTTAGCGGAGTCTGTAACCTGAAGCGTATGTAACCCGAGGTACCACTGTAGTACCTCAGGTTAAGAACTTTGCTTCAGGATGTGAACAGAAATCGTGCTCCAGCGGCACAGCGGCAGCGGAAGGCCCCATTAGCTAAAGTGGTACCTCAGGTTAAGAACAGTTTCAGGTTAAGAACGGACCTCCAGAACGAATTAAGAACTTAACCCGAGGTACCACTGTATGGACTTCAAACCAGTTTTGGGTGATATATTGATATATCGCCCTGCCCTACTGGAGTCCTGTGTCCATTTCTGGGCACCACAGTTTAAGAAGCATATTGACATGCTGGAACATGTGCAGAGAAAGGTGAAGAAGATGACCAAGGGTCTGGGAAACCAAGGTTTACAAGGAACGGTTGAGGAGTTGGGTTTGTTTAGCCTGGAGAAGAGAAGACCTAGAGGAGATTGGATAGCCGTCTTCAACGATCTGAAGGGCTGTTGCTTGTGCTCTCCTGCTCTGGAGAGTAGGACCTGAACCTATTCAAGTTACAAGGAAGGAGATTCCGACTAAACATTGGGAAGAACTTTCTGACTGTAAGAGCTGGTTGACAGTGAAGCGGACTAAATTGAAAAGTGGTGTGCCGCTATTGTTGTTGCTACTATTATTTATTGAATTTATATACCACCCAGAGGTCTCAGGGCAGTTCACAAAACAAAATCAAAATATAAAAGCACAAAAGATATAATCAAAATAAAAGCAACAACCCAATAACTCTTCTCCCACAAAAAAAAATAAAATTTTTAGAAGGGCCTAGGACTCGCCGATCAGAAGGTTGGCGGTTCGAATCCCCGCGACGGGGTGAGCTCCCGTTGCTCGGTCCCTGCTCCTGTCAACCTAGCAGTCTGAAAGCACGTCTAAGTGCAAGTAGATAAATAGGTACCACTCCGGCGGGAAGGCATTTCCATGCGCTGCTCTGGTTCGCCAGAAGCGGCTTAGTCATGCTGGCCACATGACCCGGAAGCTGTATGCCGGCTCCTCGGCCAATAAAGCAAGATGAGCGCCGCAGCCCCAGAGTCGGCCACGACTGGACCTAATGGTCAGGGGTCCCTTTACCTTTAGGATGTCAATCAAATCAGCCAAAGGCCTGGTTAAAAAGGAACGTTTTTGCATGGTGTCTAAAGGGGTATAATGAACTTTCCTGGGGAGAGCATTCCACAGACAGGGAGCCACTGCAGAGAAGGCCCCGTTCTCTACTTCCTTTGATTAGAGATTGGATGGCCATCTGAGGGATTATTTAGCTGTGATTCCTGCATTGCGGGGGGTTGGCCTAGACGACGCTTTGGATCCCTTCCCGACACCACAATCCTACAATTCCATGAGTCTCTCACAGGTGGTTTATTCCGAAATCTGGGCCCCTACTTTCACCTCCTGTTAGTCTTGTGTTTCCTCCTCTGGCGTCTCCCACTGTGGAAATGCAGACTGAGAGCATCCCGAGTGGGGCAGAGACTCATTCCAGAGAAAGGCCGCCTTTGCCTGAACGGGCAGGGAAGCCTTACACGAGAACAGCTGCACCACAGATCTGGTGGAAAGCCGCTCCTTCAACCAATCACCAGGAAGAAACCTTTCGCTCTCTCGCTCTCCTCTCTCACGCCAGCGACCGGGAGATCAAAGCTTTTGCTAGAGTGTGAAAGACGACATGGATGTGCGTGCATGCATGCATGCGTGAGAGAAACCCTGCCAACGTGCTTACATCATGCCTAACCGAGCCAGCGTGAAAATAAGCCTGAATGCAGGGTTGCAAAGGGGCAGCAAAGGATGGGCAGAGAAACCTACCCAGCTCTCTCCCTTATCTCCGCTGCACTGCAGCTAAGGGCTCCCTGAGCTCTCTACTAGGGAGAAGGTGGGGGGGAAAGAGAGCAGAAAAATGCCTTCCTAAAGCAGCTTGGAAATCCAGCTTCAGGATATAATAATTATATGTGTGTGTGAGAGAGAGAGGGGGAGAAATTTGCATGCACAATGACCCAGTTATGCACCGGGCCAACTCTAGAGATGAGCAGTAATGAGCGAATGCTTCAGCAGACCAAAGGCACTTGATTCGTGTGTGTGTGTGTGTTGTGTGTTGTGTGTCCCACACACACACACTCAATATTGCCCCTAATAGTACAGGTGTACCCAGCTACATTTGCTGGATGGCTCACCCCGATGATGTGTAATCTCCTCTCCCTCGCTCTCTATTTTAGGAAACCTTTGCGGGGATGGGAGAAGGAAGGTTACGGACCGGGTGGATTTCAGATGCCCCAAATAAAGGATACGCCAAATTCGCAGGATCTGGATTATCATCATTTTTTAAGGATCCGTCCACAACAGGACTGAAATGAAATCCGCTTTTAAAAAAAAACCACAACAGCCACAAAACGAAGGCTCCATCTTCAAGAAACGAGAGAGGTCTCTGCCGAGTTCGGTGATCCATGCACAGCCAAAAGAGCCCTGATCATCACAGAATACTATATCCATGCGCATATGGAGCCCAAAACGATGTGACGGAGGGTTATAGCAAGCAAAAATGTTTCAGTCTTTGAAACACACACACACACACACACACACAGAGGAAGAGGACATTTAATCCTTCTGCTCAGCTGGACAACATGTCACGTTTACCGGGAGTTTATGGCCATCCTTGCTTTGCAGCTATAATGCTACCGACAATAAAAAGCAAACAAACCAAGGGGCATTATATAGCCATTTCGAACCCCTCTCTCCCGGTTTCTACACCTTGGCTTAGCCTTCCAAATGGGGGGGAGCCGGTCCCCCCCCCCGTCTAGTTTGCCAGCGAAATGGCACGCAGCAGTTGCATCCAGAAAAGCAGATGACATAATTTGCAGCCATCCCCTGTTCATCACCCAAACGCCAGCACCTCACCTCGCGCTCTGGATGACACCCCATTTATGACATCATCTTAAAAAAAAAAAAAACACACACACACAACCACACACACAGACACACAACCCAACCCTAACACCAACCATCCCTGACCATACCTGCAAGGGGTTTTATGGTTTTACTTACACAAACGCACGCACATCCTTTATCAATGGGTGGCTGCTTCTTCAACATTGCAAGGCGGGGGGTGGAGAAAAGCAAGCGAAGAGGCTATACCCCCGCCCCAGATGACCAAAAAGAAAAAACTGGTGGAAATATTTTATTCTGGAGCAATGCACACGTTTGCAACGGATGTGCATCCCCTTGCATTCTCCGGCGGCGCGTCAGATTATATTGCAAGAAGCAGAGGTCTCCAAGCTCATGGAGGGTTAGGTGGGGGAGGGCAAACTAAACTAATAAGCAGAAAATAAATCGGAAGAGGTGGCGGGGCTTATTTCGGAGGACCCCCGCATCTTCGCCGTGCACCACATTTTAATTGCAACCATATCTGCACACGCTCCCGTCCTCCCACAGAATCCTCTTCGTGCACCGATTTCCTCAACCCAGAGCGATTTTGCAAACGGGGGGAAAAAAAGGTAGCGCGTGCAAACGTAACCAGTCTTCCACCACCATGCAAGCAACCCCCCCCCCCCGTCCAAGTGTGTGGCGACGCCTCCCTCTCTCCCTCCTCCTGCGCCCCCTCCCCAAATCCCTCCCGGGCGTGTAGGCAAGAGATACCTCTCCTCCTCCCCGCTGTGCCCTTACTCTTTGCAGGAACGCAGGCGATGCGCCCTGGGCGCGCAGCAGCTCCTTCAGCCGGGAGGCGTCCGTTTTTTAATCCTCTCTTTTTTTGGCGGCGGCGGCGGCTCGGGATGCAGGAGAGAAGCATGCACCGCGACGGGGAAGGTGCTTGGAGTTCAAAAATGAAATGCAACCGAAAACGACGACCTCCGACCAATTGCACGGGGGGCGAATTCAAAGCGTGCGCTCAGGCGGCCACCCGGCGCATCGCGGAGCCTTTGCAAGGAAGGAGGCGAGCGGCGCTGCAGGCGAGCGGGCTGGCGGCTCGCATCCCGGCCAGCGTCACCGATACACACGCGCGCACTCGCAGACACGCATCTTGCCCCTTTTCTTGCGGCAAACGGCAGCCAACCCCCTGGCCACGCCCCCCTTGCCACAGCCTCAGCCTATCAGAGAGCAGGATCCGGGAGGAGGGTGGATCGCCTGCCCTTTTTAACTCTTCCCGCACTGCAGCGCTCCAAGGCTTGGAGGAAGGGTCGGGGCTGGTCCACACGTGATGGGAGATGTTTGGGTTTGATGGCATTTTTATTTTTTGACACGTTTTATTGTCCGGTTTTGCTTTTTTTTCTGTGCGCCGGTTAGAAGTTGCAAGTAATGAAGCGTTTCTTCCAATTGGGAAACTGAACCCACATTCATCAATTGATCTTAACAGATTGGAGAACTGGGCGCAAGCTAACAAAATGAATTTCAATACAGTAGAGGCAAATGTCAGGTCCTGCACTTAGGCAGGAAGAACCAGCTGCTCAAATATAAGATGGGGGAACGCCTGGCTTGACAGCAGTACATTTGAAAAGGATCTAGGGGTCTTGGTGGACCACAAGTTGAACATGAGTCAACATGGTGATGCAGCAACAAAAAAAGCGAATACTATTCCAGGCTGCATCAACAGAAGTCTGGTGTCCAGATCAAGGGAAGTAATAATACACTCTATTCTGTCTTGCTCAGACCACACCTGGAATACGGTGTCCAATTCTGGGTACCACAATTTAAGAAGGATGTTGACAGGCTGGAAGATGTGCAGAGGAGGGTGACTGAAATGATCAAGGGTCTGGAAACTAAGCCTTATGAGGAACGGTCGAAGGAGCTGGGTATGTTTAGCCTGGAAAAGAGGAGACAGAGAGTAGATATGATAACTCAGGAAATTGTGGACTCTCCTTCCTTGGAGTTTTATAATAATAATAATAATAAATTGTATTTATACCCCGCCGTCCCCAGCCAAGACCGAGCTCGGGGCATCTAACAATCAATAATAAAAACAAGTTGATTAAAATAAAACTTAAAAAAACAAGATTAAAATGCAACATTAAAACATTAAAATGCAGCCTCTTCACAAGAGAAGAAAGGAAAAAAGAAAGAAGGGGAGGGAATCAAATTGATTCCAAGCCAAAGGCCAGGCAGAACAACTCTGTCTTACAGGCCCTGCGGAAAGAAATCAGATCCTGCAGGGCCCTGGTCTCAAGAGACAGAGCGTTCCACCAGGCCGGAGCCAGTGTTGAAAAGGCCCTGCCTCTGGTTGAGGCTAATCTGACTTCCTTAGGGCCCGGGACCACTAGGGTGTTGCTATTTATGGACCTTAAGGTCCTCCGTGGGGCATACCAGGAGAGGCAGTCCCATAGGTATGAGGGTCCTAGGCTGTGAAGGGCTTTAAAGGTCAAAACCAGCACCTTAAATCTGACCCTATACTCCACCGGGAGCCAGTGCAGCTGGAAAAGCACTGGGTGAATATGCTCCCATGGCAGAGACCCTGTGAGGAGCCTCGCTGCAGCATTCTGCACCCGCTGGAGTTTCTGGGACAGCTTCAAGGGCAGCCCCGCGTAGAGCAAATTACAGTAGTCAAGCCTGGAGGTGACCATCGCATGTATCACTGTGGCCAGGTCGGGGCAGGAAAGGTAAGGGACCAACTGCTTGATGCGGTGAAGGTGGAAAAATGTCGCCTTAAGCAGGTTGGATGGCCATGTGTCATGGATGCTTTAGATGAGATTCCTGCACTGCAGGGGGTTGGACTAGATGACCCTCAGCGTCCCTTCCAACTCTACAACTCCATGATTCTATGATTATAAACAGCTTTTCGCCCATCTCTCATAATAGTAGAACTTTGTGGATGGCCCAATAATATTAAGTGGCAGAAGCTCAAGCATTTCTTCACACAGTATTTCCTTAGTGTATGGAACTCCCTGCCACAAGTAGTAGTAATAATAATAATAATAATAATAATTTTATTATTTATACCCCACCAATCTGGCTGGGTTTCCCCAGCCACTCGGGCCTCTTCCAGCAAAATGGAAAAACACAACAAAACGTCATATTATAAACAAAGCGAAGCTTTAAAAGGTGGCTATTAAAAGAGATGAAACGAATTTGTAGGGGAGGCAAAGAGCATATGTATTTGGTGGTTAGACATGATGGACCCAGTCTATTGAAGGTGAATGCACATTTGGGGAGTGATGTGTGCGAATTCTGCCCCATGGAAATTGCTTTGTCCTGATTCCCCTGTTGCCGTTCAAGGTTTCCCAAAGGGATCAATATTGATCTTCTTGGGGTCGGCAGGACTGTGCAGGGGATGACTAAAGCCCTAGAGATCGAAAAAGAAGTTTGCAAGGTACAGTGTCAAAAAATAATAACTGGGAAGTCTGAGCTTCGGCACTAAAGAGGATGGCCTAGTACAGAGGGCACTTCCTTGGCCAATGAGGAAACTCTGTATTTAATGAGACGACTCCACAATTCAATAGTTATTTTCTTATTTTTTACACTTTAAGATATGTAATCACAGTGGTTGATAATAAATCAATGACGATTGTTTCTTGGCTTTATTTAATTTACATTCCTAAGAATCTGGCTGGGGTCAAGGGCAACTTCCAAGGATTCAATGAATTCAGAAAGGGTTTAAACCTTCCCAGTGAGGCAATGGGGTGGTTGTTCTGTTGCATTCACCTGATGGGGAGAAAGATGGGGGGGCTGGCAGGCCGCCGGATCCAGGCCCCTGTGTTTGCCACGCTTTTATTGTTTAGTCGTTTAGTTGTGTCCGACTCTTCGTGACCCCCTGGACCAGAGCACGCCAGGCACTCCTGTCTTCCACTGCCTCATGCAGTTTGGTCAAACTCATGCTGGGAGCTTCGAGAACACTGTCCCACCATCTCGTCCTCTGTTGTCCCCTTCTCCTTGTGCCCTCCATCTTTCCCAACATCAGGGTCTTTTCCAGAGAGTCTTCTCTTCTCATGAGGTGGCCAAAGTCTTGGAGCCTCAGCTTCAGGATCTGTCCTTCCAGTGAGCACTCAGGGCTGATTTCCTTCAGAATGGAGAGGTTTGATCTTCTTGCAGTCCATGGGACTCTCCAGAGTCTCCTCCAGCACCATAACTCAAAAGCATCAATTCTTTGGCGATCAGCCTTCTTTATGGTTTTCCACACTGGTTCTAAGCCATTTCGACCTGCGATGTGATTCAGTCGCTCTCAACTTCCTTCGACAGCTCTTCTCATCTCCCACGACTAATGCGGTTCCGCCGCTGCTATAGAGACTGGGTTTAAATAAGAAATGCACACAGCCCACTAAGTGTGTGCCCAGGGAGATCGGGAATAATTATACAATTACATGTTGTTTTCATTTTTTGGAGATAAGAGGTGCCGGAGCTCAAAGGTACTTGAAAGCCCTTTGCTATGGAAACCTTTAACTCCCTTAAGCTCAGGTATGTCAGGGCGGGGGGAGTCCAAACTATGGTTGCTTGGGGGCGGGAATATGCACTCTGCATATGCTCAGAGGTACTCCTGCCTGTTAACAGAGCGAATGCTATTCTAGGCTGCATGAACAGAAGTCTAGTGTCCAGGTCAAGGGAAGTAATTGTACCACTCTAAAGACGCCTGCTTCTTGGGAGAAAAGCAATGACAAACCTAGACAACATCTTAAAAAGCAGAGACATCACCTTGCTGACAAAGGTTTGTATAGTTAAAGCTATGGTTTTCCCAGTAGTGATGTATGGAAGTGAGAGCTGGACCATAAAGAAGGCTGATCGCCAAAGAATGGATGCTTTTGAATTATGGAGCTGGAGGAGACTCTGAGAGTCCCATGGACTGCAAGAAGATCAAACCTCTCTATTCTAGGAAATCAGCCCTGAGTGCTCACTGGAAGGACAGATCGTGAAGCTGAGGCTCCAATACTTTGGCCACCTCATGAGAAGAGAAGACTCCCTGGAAAAGACCCTGTGTTGGGAAAGATGGAGGGCATAAGGAGAAGGGGACGACAGAGGACAAGATGGTTGGACAGTGTTCTCGAAGCTACCAGCATGAGTTTGACCAAACTGCGGGAGGCAGTGGAAGGCAGGAGTGCCTGGCCTGCTCTGGTCCATGGGGTCACGAAGAGTCGGACATGACTAAATGACTAAACAACAACATTGTGCCTTGATCAGACCAAGGACACTGAGAGGAGAGATGACAGCCATCTTCAAATATCTAAGATGGAGAAAGATGGTTTTTAAGCAGAGGTTGGGTGGCCATCTGTCATAATAATAAATAAGAATAAATTTTTATTTGTACCCCCCCCCCCCGGCCAGAGCTGGGCTCAGGGCGGCTAACATCATAAAACTAACACAGTATACAAAGAACATAAAAACAGGCAATCAATTCATTAAAATACATCTTAAAATTAGTTCAGAACAAATGAAAATCTGGACAGATGGCAGTCCACGGGAAAAATTGAGAGTGGTTCATATTCTCCAGGGCCAACTGTTACCACTGGTCTTATAGAGGACCTGTGAGCCGTCTAGGAGGCCTCTTTAATGCTTGTTCTTTTACAGAAAGAAAAGAATCAGACTGAACCCTAACCAAAGGCCTGGCGGAACAGCTCCGTCTTGCAGGCCCTGCATGGATGCTTTAGCTGAGATTCCTGCATTGCAGGGGGCTGGACTACATGACCCTTGAGGTCCCTTCCAACTCTCCAATTTATTTATTCCATTCTTCCTTTTTTTAAAAAAAAATGAACAAATTATTAGTCTTCCAATATTTACCCAATATTACCACACTTTAGCCAATTATACAGATTTTTTAAATAAATAAATAAATAAATAATTTATGATTCCACTCTTCCATTGCCCATGCGCTGTGCCCTTCCCTCTGTCATATATGAAGCAGCAACCACCCGTTGCTTCAGATGCCTTGGATAGAGGTAGGTTTCCATCCAGGCTTTCCCTGACCCATGAGATCAGACCCAGGACAACTGCTTCAGTGCTGCAACAACAACAACAACAACAACAACAACAACAACAACAACAACAACATTATTTGTATGCCACCCATCTGTGTGGGTTGCCCCAACCACCCTGGCTGGTTCCCAACATAGGGTTGCCATATTTACAGAAGTAAAAACTTAACAGAGCTTTCTTTTCAAAAGGTTGTTGAGCGTTTCTTGAGAAAGTTTCAAAAAACCCGGATATTTCCCTAAATTCCCCCTGGACGCTAATTCCATCATTAGAAAACCTGGGGAAATCCAGACGTATGGCAACCCTATCC